TACCTTTACCATAGCTTTTGATGTATACCTCATTTACAACAGGTATTAGGGGACACTTACTATGGGTTGATTATGTTATCACCAGTCATAGAATCATTCTCTAATCCCACCCTCTCCCATTATTGAGAAGGACTTGAGAGGAGTGGTCATTTCTTATTGATCTCTGTACTCCCCTTAGATCCAGCACAGTGTTTCTAAGTTAGTAGATGCTCAATATTTATTGAATAGAATTAGTATCTCCATAAGATACCGTATAGACAATGATATTTTACTTAAATTTCATTTTAATCAACATTTCATGAGAATATTTTAATATATAAAAATAATGATTAGGATATCAAAATGATTTATAAAGATCATTCTGTTAACCTAATGAAGCCAGCTACATCTGGGGTCTACATTTAACATAACCCCACTCTATATTATAATTGGGGACTAAATTTATTTATTTTTTTTTTGAGGAAGATTAGCCCTGAGCTAACATCTCCTGCCAATCCTCTTTTTGCTGAGGAAGACTGGCCCTGAGCTAACATCCATGCCCATCATCCTCTACTTTATATTTGGGATGCCTGCCACAGCATGGCTTGATAAGCTGTGCATTGGTCTGAGCCTAGGATTCGAACCAGCAAACCCCAGACTGCCAAAGCGGAGCACGTGAACTTAACCACTGCACCAATGGGCCGGCAACTGGGGAGTAAATTTTACTAGATAAAACAAAGTTAATGTAAATATATTTACATATTTTAATAGTGCTTTTGAACTGGCTCTTCTTTGATATTTTTTCCCTGTATAATTTATAGAAGAAAAAAACTCTTGAAAACATTTTAGGCAACCATATAAACCATTTTTAATGTCATGTTAACAAGCTCTCACTATAATACTAAATATAAAATAAAGTAGATACATAAATAGATGGTTTAAATGCTATTAATAAAATAAAACATATACATTTATAATCAAATAGCTTTCAGTGAATAGTAATTTTTAAGTGGTTATAATTTTTAAGATTATTTTTAGGGTGATTTTGTGCGAAGAGAAGGTTTTAATTGTAATGAGAAAAAAATAAACATATTAATAAGACCATTTGGGCATAAAATATAACTAAATCTACAGTCTTTGGAAGAGAAATAAGAGAAACCATTCCGTTTAGTGATGGTCTAATTAAGTGAAGTGTGATAGTTCATCGTTTCCAACACCTTACAGATTAAAATAGTAAAATACATACAATTTAACTATGTTGTAATTTATCATTTAAAAATATCTATCTACCTGAATAACTGCTACGAGCTATTAACTTTGCCCCCATTAGAAATCTTCTTGGATCTCCAGCCACATTTGCATGCACGTGTATACATGGCTAGATGGGAAATGCAAATAGACCAGTAGACATGATAGCTTTCTTAAATTATATTTTGCAACCTATATGGAGACCTCCTCATGTGTATTCTCTTTGCAATTTAAATCAAATATAGATAGAAAATATATATTTTAATTGAATTTGAAATATATCATTTAAAATCTTCAAGGTGTCGGTATTTTAGAAATTAATTTAACACATTTGCTAACTTCACGTCAATGAAAACAGTCCAGCACTCCTTCAGTCTCAACCGCAAGCAACTACCCTATTTATTTATATTGATACAGTGTCAATTATTATTTCTTTAAGTAAATAAAACAACCTTAACTTGCTATTGTCTCAGTTGCTCTATTTTATAATTTTTAAGCCACTTGTGAATAATGCTTTGCTGTTGATTTTTAAAAACATTACCACGAGTCACAAAAGACAAAGTTGATCCTAAGGGATGACGACATATTTTTCAGTTTTCACATTTTTCACTACTTAGAAGGGCTACCGCCAGCTAGCTTTGGGGACTTCATTTTCAGCAATAATTTTCTAGAGTGACCAGCACTATGGGGAAATCTGTGCTAACTGTTTAAAAAAAAAAAAAAAAGCCTACAACTGAGTTATTTGCAGTACTGTCATGCTAACATTCAACTCAATAAGACCCAAGAAATCTCAGGAGAGGACTCTGCTAATAGCTTCGTACTGACCTCCTGCAGCAGGCCCGGCTGCTGACTGGTGGCCCAGTGGTGAATATGGTAAATGAGCTGTGAAAGCACTGATTTTTTTTAAAGGCTATGATTCCGACTCGTCAGAAGGAAAAAAAAAAAGGCAATGAGTTATATAATAGATATATATTTTTCTTGAATTCCCCCCTTCAGACCCTCCATCACGGGAACTTAAGCATGACCTGGAATATTAATTATGTCAGGTTGAGCTACGAGCAAATGTACCATTTGTTACCCAGTCACCCTTAGCATTACATTAATATTTTGAACTCTTCCATATTTCTAACAATCTATCAGTTGGCTCTTTTCTTCTCAGTTTTTATTCTCATGCTTAAGGATTGAACAGGAAAGTACTTTAAAAATGCAATGGATTCAAAAGCAAATGGATATACTCGTTATATTTGGAGCATCTACTGTTTTATTTCATGAAGAATGTTTTTATGGTTATTTTCCACTCGCGCATTGACCTTTATTTTGTAATTGCCTGGGGGAAGCTACAGTCTAATTTTTTTCTCTTCTCTTTGTTTCTGAGGTTTACTTTTAAAACAAGTTTCTGTAAAATAAAAAGAATTTGAAACAGGACCGCATACACCTAGAATTCCCAAAACACAATTCCTGTGCTCCAATTTCATATGTTGCCATATGAAAAATAATACTTTCTCATGATTTCAAAGTAACTGCTTATTCCAGGATTGAAGAACTATTAAATATACAGGGTCGGGGGGAGAATTCAAATTTTACTTTTGCCAATGACAATTATGCCTCAAACAAGAGTCACTGATTGCCACAAAAAGAAACAAAAATAAAAAGTATTTTCTGAATTTGTGATTCAGAAGCAATTCAGCATTTGTGACTACTGTGAGGGAAACAGTTCTGAAAGGAGGGCTGTCTAAACTACATTTGGGTTCTAAGTTTTAATAAAAAATGCTTTAAATAAATAAGATGCTAAGCAAATGCAGAACAGTAGTAAAGATGGCTAAGAACTACAAAGGGAAAGTGGGCCAGAGAACTGTGAATGAAATATTTGCTGGGGTAGGGACTGCTGAATCAACACTGACCAATGCACTTCATCCTAATTATCAGGACATACTAGTGCCAGGGGATTTATAAAAATCCCACTCAGCAAATAATTGCCCTGCTGTTAGGAGATAGTCAGGGTGTTAACACACTGTCACAGTCCAGCATTTAGTAAGATAGTCTACATTCAATTACTCTTGCTGAGAACTTTAAGGAAACACGGTCATTTCTCAGCTCCGGCAGCTATGCTCCCACATACGTCTCAGACAATAGTCACATTAACCCTCAGAGACAGTACCCCAGAAGGAATAAGAATTCCATGGAAACACTGGGGATTTGCAAAGAATATATTTGGTATAGAACTCATCTATAGAAAGCAAGATTTCTAAGACAAACTCTGACTGAAAAACTATTACAAGTGCCTTTTCTCTTCTTTTACTTCGGTTAAGAAAATAGAATTTTTAAATGTTTTGAGCCAAATTATAGAGTGGGGTCTAAATGTAGACTCCAGATGTAGCTGGCTTCATTAGGTTAACAAACGATCCTTATAAATCATTTTGATATCCTAATCGTTATTATCATATATTAAAATATTCTCACGAAATGTTGATTAAAATGAAGAAATTTAAATAAGATACAATTCTCTATATACGAATTCAATTCAATCAATACTGAGCAGCTACTAGCTTAGCAACCTTTTGCTGGATCTAAGAGGGGTACAGAGATGAATAAAAAGTGGTCACTCCCATCAAATCCTTCTCAGTCGTGGGAGAGGGTGGGGTTAGGAGAACGATTCTGTGACTGGCAATGACATAACCAGCCTGTGGTAAGTGTCCTCTAATACCTGTTGTAAACGAGGTATACATCAAAGGCTATGGTAAAGGTAAATAGCCTTTAGAAGACTCTGTGGAAAAAGTATTTGAATTTGTCCTAAAGATGGGTATAATTTTGGTGATAAAAAAAGGAAGAAAGACATTCCAGGCTTGGGGGAGGATATACAGTCATGTGTCGCTTAACCAAGGGGATACATTCTGAGAAATGTGCCCTTAGGTGATGTCATCGTTGTGTGAACATCGTTGAGTGTACTTACACAAACCTAGATGGTATAGCCTACTACACACCCAGGCTATATGCTACTAATCTTATGGGACCACCATTGTATATGGGGTCCATCGTTGACCGAAATCTCGTTATACTGCACATGACTCTAATCTATAACTTCTTTGAAAGAACTTGATAAGATTTTGAAATAAACCTCAAATATTTTGCTAAGATATTTAAGTGGCTTTGGAAAACAAGACCTCATGAATACAACTCGTTAAATACAGGACCTTATTTTGAATGATACATAATATACACACATATATGATACCACCAGTTGGATTATTATTTTAGAGTAAAGAACTTAAAGTGAGTGCCATGAATTAGGTTGTGTGATGAATAATCATTCAACCAATCAAATACTTATTGAGTACCTACCTTGTAGCTGCAACTGGTTCATGCATTGTATATTTGAGTTTACGTGAGTGAATGTATGACTTATAGATATGATTACATATTAAAATGTACATAGTTAATGGTTAGAATACAGAATAAATGACTTAAGGTCCTTCTGGTATTTTTTTTCATAAATACAGTTATATAAAATATGCCATGTGTGGCAGATAGAAACTAACTCGGTAGTTTTTAACATGTTTAGTCTTCAGCCAGGAATGATTCTGAAATTATTGGTATGGAGTGGAGACAAAATTTTTTGTAACCTCCTTCGATGATTCTGAAGTCTAGTTAAGAACTAGAGTTGTAGTTTAAAACAGTCCTTTAACATGTGAAAATTTTTGTGGTACAACTTTATCTTCCTTTTATTTCATGTGGATATTAAAGATGAAAGTCAAAATTATATTCTTCTTTCCTAGATTCCAGGTATATACAATTCACCGTTCAGAAAAGATCCTGATCCGTGGGAGTTGCGGTTACAGAAGGCAAAGCCTTTAACACACCAGAGACCTAGAGTTAAGCAGAAGCATTCCATCAGCCTGACCAGCTGGCTGGCTTGTACGAGCAACCGTTCCTTTCCTCGGTCTGAAATTCTGCCACCCATTAATAGGAAACAATGTCAGGTACTCATTAGTCCTGTATAAGAACTCTCTCGATTGCGTTGTTGTTGTTTTTAAAAGAAGTTGTTGTTTTGTTTTGTCTTTGTGACAAGAAAGAAGAATGATTTTTTACAGAATCTAATTTTATTGTTTCTTTATCGGTGAGGAAGATTTCCCCTGAGCTAACTGCATTGCAAATCCTCCTCATTTTTCGCTGGAGGAAGATCAGCCCAGCTGACATCTGTGCCAGTCCTCCTCTACTTTGTATGTGAGATGCCTCCACAGCATGGCTGATGAGTGGAGTAGGTCTGCACCTGGGATCCAAATGTGCGCTGTGAACTGGGGCTGCCCAAGCAGAGCGCATGGAACTTTAACCACTTGGCCACAAGGCTGGCACCTACAGAATCTAATTTTAAATAATAAATATAAAATACCTTTACAATATATACCAAGGGAGTGATCAATATTTCTTTGGTACTGAATTTTATTGTTTTGAATATGAAGTTAACACATAGGATTTTTGGCTAGGATCTAGACTTTTTATGTAAAAGTATTGTTATAATAGTACTTGTTATAACCTATGGTTGCTAGAAAAATCTTATGTATTATCAATTTATTTGATTTAGTCTCTCATCTGCTGATCCATATCTTTATTACACTTGTAAACATAATTTAGGTTTGAGCAATGAAAAAGATTAAGTTGGACAATTAGAAAGGACCCAAAACAATGCACAACTCAAGCAGAGACTATAAATCTTCAGGATGGATTGGAATAGAGCAGGATTGGCCAATGACTTCCTGGGATTGAAGGGTGGAGGGGGATGTGCTGAGTGATGATTGTCACTGTCCTGAAAGTCCCAGAGAACAGCAGTTCTACCATCCCCATCAATATCTAGAGTAGGGAACTGCCACTGGGCAGCATCAACCTAGAATTGGGTTGATTTTGGTTCACACAGTAGGGTCCTAGAACTCTCACATATTAGCAGCCTATGCAGGCTTGCCTCTCTCTGTCATTTGCTGCATAATAAATTACTCCAAAACCTGATGGCTTAAACCAACATACATTTCTTATCTCATGGTTTCTGTGGGTCAGCATTGTAGATACAGCTTAGGTGAGCACCCTGACTCAGGATCGCTCATGAATTGCAGTCAAGGGGTCAGCCAGGGCTGTGGTTTCATACGAAAACTTAGCTATGGGGAGAAGAAGATGGTGGGGAGGTCCTCTTCCAAGGTCACTCACATGGTTGATTGTTTTCATGTCTCAGTCCCTCCTCATGTTGCCGTCTCTTCAGTGCTACCTCAAACATGGCAGTTGGCCTCCCTCAGGGTGAGTGCTCTAAGAGAGACTGAGAGAGAGCCCTCAAACAGAAGCCACGGTCTTCTGTCCTCGTGGAGTTGGGGTGCACCATGCTCCTGGCACCAGCACAAGGATGTGTATGCCAGTTAAGAAGCTCACCAAATCTTCTTGTGCAAGAGTTTTTATAAAGTTTTATCTCCAATTCCACTCTCCTCCCTGGAGATCAGAGGTTTGGCGGGAAGTTCCAACCTTCCAATCACTTCAAATGATTTCTGGTGACCAGTCACATCCTGAGACTATCTAGGGATCCCATTCTAAATTACCTCATTAGCATAAACTCAAGAGTTGTCTCATTATGAATAAGAAAAGATGCTCCTATCACTCAGGAAATTCCAAAGATTTTAGGAGCTCTGTGCCAGGAACAAAGATCAAATATATTTCTTATTATACCACAATGGTATATATATGAAGACACAGAAAAAATACATACATTTATATAAAGATATATGGGTGCGTATGTGGCCTATACTATATGCATGGAAGATGTTACGTATTGTATCCTCCTGGTCCTCCTCCCTCTCCTGCACCCTATATCCTTTCTTCCTTCCTTCTCTCCTCCCTTCCTTCTCATTCTTCCTTTACCCATCTGTTCTTCCCACCTTCTTCCCTCTTATCTTTCTTTGGGTTCTTCTTTCCTCCCTTACTTCACTTCTTTTTTCCTTGTTTCCTTTCCTATTTTTCACGGAATGAGATTTTTAACATTGTGGTTTTCTTTGACTGAACCACATGCCCTGTATGTTACCTAATAGTAAAAACGTACATTCATCATTGGGGAGATTTAAGGCTGTAAATGCCATAGTCCAAATGATAATATTTGTACTCTGACAGTCTGTCTACTTGTGAGGTGAATTTCTTAAATGTGTGAGATAATAGTAGTCAGTTTAGAAAATAAGTTCATTATTATTTAAGCTTTCGGAAGAGTTTAAAAACACAAGATGACTATAAAGTAATGTGAGTTATTAAAAATATATATAAGAATAATATAAATATGTTTGACATTATCGGGATTTGGTTGGAGGCAAAGAAAGTTAAACATTAGAAAACTATTAGAAAGTTAAACATCTAAAACTATTAGAAAACTATAGATAAGTCTGAGGAGACTTATAGGTTCAGGTTGAATCTTAGATGGTCTAGATATTCCAGGGATTAATTTTGGGAAATGAGTGCAATTCACGGATCTGAAGTTTGAAGGTATGTCCAAAATCTGGGACTCCCTGTCACTCCAGGCATGGTTAACATAAGTGATCACTTGAGATCTAAAAGGCAGTCTATCAGATTAACAGAAGACAGATTACAGAAGGAAACACAAATTAATAGAAGCTTTGGTACAAGAGAAGCTTGATAGTAAGATGTCAATTACTAACCAGGGAGGAGGACTACTGAGCTCAAAGGCAAGACACTGATTGTCTAAGCTATAAATGTATGGACCAGACACTGAAAGACACAGGGAGATGGGCATGATTATGCTACCACACATAATTGGGGTTCTCTTGGCCAATGTGCATAAAAAACCAACTAATTACAACATCAGCCTTTGTGAAAAGAGATTAGCTTTGTTCTGTGAGATTGATCTGCAGGGAGGTGGGGGGCATGTGCCCTCAGATCTGTCTCCCCAGTTCAGGATTTGGGGTGAAATTTAAGAGGTTAGGGAGATGAGGCTGGCACACAGAAACACTGGCAAGACAGGTTTTGATTGATGGGCTTCAATCATTTATGATGAGATTCTAAACATTTGTGATGGGGTTCTAAACATTTATGATGATGTGGGAAAGGAATTTTAACACCGGATCTTCCTGAATGAGGGACCCCTTGCTTCTGATAGGAGTCTGACTTTTAAGTTCTGGTCATGTCCTTGTCTTTTGGTTCCATGGGGAGGAGAATCTTTGGTTCTATGGTCATTTCAGGTCAAGATTTCTTCTTCTGTTCATGCTCTAGCTACATGACATTGCAAATTTTCTGAAAGGCAGTTCTTAACCACTTTGGTGATAAGATGGGGTGAGTTGACCTGGTCCTGGCGGGCCCATGGTTACAATTACAGAAGGATTGGGGTCACAAAGATTATACTGAACCCAAAAGGAAGACTGGGTCTATTTTTATTCCATATTTTACTACTCAAGTAGAATTCTTCCTCTTCCATTTCCTTGTCTCATTGGAAATAGTAAGTTCCAGATTATATAGTGGGATAAGCCTACAAATGGATGTGTGTGTTATGCTGATACACCAACAAAGGTTGGAAGGCAGATCTTGGCCACCAAGAAAACCGTTACTCCTTGTGAATACTGGCCCCTTCAAAGTCATAGCCTTGGCCATTTGCTTATATATTTGATGCTACTATTGTTGAAAACCTTTTTCAAACTCCTCTTGAAACTAAGAGTTATAGTAGTAAAAATAATAATAAAGCCATAGATACCATTTTTGACTATTTACTATGTTCTAAGTAAAATTCTAAGAGTGTTACTTACATTATCTTACATATCTTAAGAGCAAATTTGTGAGATAGCTAGTAATCCATTTTACATACAAGGAAAAAAGGCCTAGAGAAATAATTTGCCTGATAACACAACCAAATATTAATTTTTAAACCATAGAATTTGTCAAAGTAAACGATTAAGAATCTGTAAAAAAAAAAAAAGTCCCCATTTGATTTCTTAATCATGAACTTGGACTCACGTTACTGTATCTTTAAAAACTAAAGTTCCAATAAAAATCCATTAACCACTTTCAAATATAGCAATCCTCCTGTCCAGCTGTGAAAAGTACTAGATGATACTTATTTGCCATTTGTGTTATTTACGGTCCATGACTTTTATGGTAACTGGTTCCTATTATTGGTTTCTATTAATGTAAAACATAAGTGAACATAAATGAGGCGTGAATCATTTCTTTTTATTAGCCCTACAGTCTTCACTCAGTGCTTGCAGTAACTCCAGCTGTGTCTTGTTAGTGATAACCTATTTAAAGAAGAGATCTTGAAGGATGAGGAATATGATTAGAAATCTTTGTCCATTTTATATCACTTCTCTCCTGCACAACGATAAATAGTGAGAAAAGAAGGCACTATGTAATTCATAACACAGCAAAATGTCCCGCACCTCTGATTTGTATTGTGCTTACTATGATTCTAATCAGAGAAGCAGTGGATTCTGGCAACTGGTATAAGTAACTCCTAATTTAAAGGTAGGATATGTTGTGAAGCACAGTTGAAGCTCATGGATTTTCCTCTGCTGTATATTTACATCATTAAATGATTGCTATTGTATCAGAGTTATTAAGCAATACTTAGAATTTTAGATAAAGAATACTTGAAATAATTAAAAATGTGACTCTTCTATGTTTTGGGGGGCCGCCAATTAAATATAAGATTTGGCATTCACCTAAAAGCTTTATTTTAATGAAAACACACTCACTTTCTTGTTTATATTTATAGTAGGGCTCTTTGAAAGCTATACTCAGAATCTTTTCTAATATTTTTACTTAAAAAGAGAGAAAATTGTTTTTAAATTATATTAGAAGAAATGTGCTTTTTAAAATTAGAAAATAAAGCAATCTATAACTACAAATTTACAAGTTCTAGGATAAAAACTCTTTTGATATATGTGGGGAAAATTCTGCTTCATTTAAAACATTTTAAATGTAATCACTTGTAGGGTGAGAACATTCCTTGAAGATAAGTGGCATTCTTGTTTTGTCATATATTTTCTAATTCAGAGAAGAACAAATTGTTCTTTAAAAAGAATTTAGTAAACTTGTGATATTTTATAGATATTCATTAGCCTTGGTCATCAATGATATGACCAAAAACCCTCCATAATAGAATTTTTGCCCCATCCTGTCTTGTCAGGGGCCCTTCCGTGATATCGCTGAAGTGTTGGAACAGCGCTACAAGCCTTTGGAGCCAACGTTGCGGGAGGCAGAACCAATCAATGAGTTAAAGGAGGCCAGAGAGGACCTCAGGAGACAGGAGTGGATACGAAATGTAAATGACAACATGTGAGTTCTTAGCTTCACAAGAAGTAGCTGTACCATGTTGGGTGCCTTAAATTTTCTAATATTTTCCATTTCCTAATATTGTAGAGACTTTTATTTGTGAGAAAAGGTGAAGCCACCATCGATCTATTCAGAAGTAACCATTTTTCAATATCTAGATGTTTTAGATAATGTCAATATTGATGACAATATTGATGGCTAATATATATATACACTATATGTTAATTACTCAAAGAAAAAAAGAGAATGAATGGCATTTCAAGGGAATAAGTGACCACTATCCATGCATCTGTGAAGGTAATTTCCTTAATTATCCATTGAAAGCATGTGTATTTATGATGCTTCTAAAATAAGATCCATCACAACAAAAACGTTTTTCTTAACATGGACTAAATTTCATTTGTATCCGTTGATAAAACAGTAATTTTAATAAATCAGGGGCAATAAAAGCAGTTAATTTCTTTACGACTGAGGAAGAGGACTGAAAAAGATAAAGGATGATCCAATAGTACATGCAGTTTTAAATGATTTTATTAGCATCATTGATTTGGGTCTCAATTCATACATCTTTCGGCAAGACATTTCCTCTCTTTTAAGGCATTTGTCATCAATGTAGTCATATATAATTTATAAGTAGACCATTTAAAATCAAGAACAGCTTTTTAAAAATTATTATCCTATAATGTATCTTGTAATTATCTTTTACTGTATCTTATAATAATTCTTTAGTACTATATATACTAAATAGTAAGACAATTATTCTAATATGAATTCTTATAATAATTTTAATATAATATATAAAATAATATTATGTTACTATACAAATGTCACCAACATATAGACAGCAATTATTATTATTTTTTAATTGAGGTCATAATAGTTTATAACATTGTGAAATTTCAGTTGTACATGATTATTTGTCAGTCACCCCCTTCACCCCTTGTGCCCACCTCCCAACCCCCTGCCCCCTGGTAACCACTAAGCTCTTCTCTTTGTCCATGTATTGGTTTATCTTCCATATATGAGTGGAATCATCTGGTGTTTGTCTTTCTCTGTCTGGCTTATTTTGCTTAACATAATACTCTCAAGGTCCATCCGTGTTGTTGTGAATGGGATGATTTTGTCTTTTTTATGGCTGAGTAGTATTCCGTTGTATACATATACTACATCTTCTTTATCTGAATATCAGTTGATGGGCACTTGGGTTGCTTCCACATCTTGGCTATTGTGAATAATGCGGCAATTAACATAGGGGTGCATAAGTTTCCTTGTGTTGTTTTCAAGTTCTTTGGATAAATACCCCATAGTGGGATAGCTGGGTCATATGGTATTTCTATTTTTAATTTTTTGAGAAATCTGCATACTGTTTTCCAGAGTGCCTGCACCAGTTTGCATTCTCATCAGCAGTGGATGAGGGTTCCCTTCTCTCCACAACCTCTCCAGCATTTGTTATTTTTTGTCTTGGTGATTATAGAGATTCTAATGGGTGTAAAGTGATATCTAAGAGTAGCTTTCATTTGCATTTCCCTGATGATTAGTGATATTGAACATCTTTTCATGTGCCTATTGGACATGCGTATATCTTCTTTGAAAAAACGTCTGTTCATATCCTTTGCCCATTTTTCGCTCTGGTTGTTTCTGTTGTTGTTGCTCAGTTGTGTGAATTCTTTATATATTATGGAGATTAACCCCTTGTTGGATAAATTATTTGCAAATATTTTCTCCCAGTTGGTGTGTTGTCTTTTCATTTTGATCCTGGTTTTCTTTGCCTTGCAGAAGCTCTTATAATTATAATAATTTTAATATAATATGAAATATTGTTATAAGTTGCTGTACAGTAGTCAACAACACATAAACTGCAATTATTATTGTTTTACATAATATATAATATGTACTAATCATATTATGTATGTTACATAATAATAATTTATATACTAATAATTCCAAAATACATTACAGAGTATATTTTGTTATATAAAGAAGCTAGAATTACTCTTATCCAGCACAGTGGCTTTTGGGCCATTTTATCAGTCAGAAGGGATATAAAATGTGCTTTATTTTAATCATGCATTTCTGAAGACTCTCTTGAAAAATAAAAATTGTTACACAAAGTCATATGAAAGATAAAATTGGCAAGCATCTCAAGTAATTTTTATAAAGTTTTTCATTTTATAGCAATTACTTGAAGTGAAATAATTACTAACTGCTTATTTAAGTTCCTGGCCTCATAAAGATAGACATGTGAAGAAGACAAATAATTTTCTTCAAGAAGGCACAAGAAAATAAAATGAATTTCTTTAGGAACAAGAACAAACAAATAAAGCTTCAGCAAATTCTTTCAGTAATTGACTGAGTTACCCATATATGATGACTAAGAAAATAAGAAACATTTATTTCCAATTAGTTTTGGGGAGGTAGGTTTGTTTTACCAAAGGGATTATAGAAGATTAATGCTACTCAGACTTAGTCAAGTAAAAATGCAATTTAATAGTGAATATCCAAAGAGGTATATTAGTCAGAATTATTTTGCCATTTTCAACAATACAAAGGTTTGTGAAATAACAAGATTAATTGCTGAAACAAGTAATTGGCCACATTGATATTTCTACAGAAATCATTGTGTATCAAAGATACTGAATATCCTTGCTTAGTATTTTCCTTGATAAGCCTGGAAAGATCAGCTATCATTGCTATCCCCAAAGAAGTGTGCTGAGCTTGTACTTTCCATGGAATACTTGTAGATATCTTCAGCCTCTATGGTACTGCTAATGACTCTTTACCCTGAAGCTTTCAGATTGAAAAGTGCTTCCAGGATTATCAACCAATCAGAAACAAACCAAGTTGGGAATGCTAAAGAAGTTACTTATAGACTTGAAGCTATCGTATTTGCAGGATAGGACTAAGCCATTGGCCTTAGCAATTAGCCTAAGAATAATTTCATTTTTTGGAGAATTGAAGCAATGATATCTTGTAGCTTCTTCTGAAACCATTTTGATTTTTGTATACTGGATAACATAATTGGAGTAGCAGACACTTGGTCCTGTCCAAAATGTCCGTAAGACATTTGGTCCATGCCAAAAGATCCTTGACATTTGGTCCTGTCCAAAACATCCATGAGCACATTTGGTCCATGCCAAGTGGTTTCAGACAGGGCCAAATATGACCAGATATCAAGGACCTTTTGGCGTGGACCGAATGTCTGATGGATGTTTTGGACAGGACCAAATGTCCTGCAAGGAAATAATTGTATTTTGTGAGGCTAAAGAAATGTTAGAAATTTAGGTTTTATATCTTTGCAGATAATAATTCTGTGAAAGAAATTAGGAAAAAAAAGTATCCTTTTACCACAGAGATGCACGGTTTTTTAATGCAGGGGGCCCTTTTTTTTTTTGCCACATTACCAATTTCACCTCTAGGAAATTGAAGGCAATAGGTTTGCCATCCAAGGGGCTTAATTAGGAATTCTCTATCTAAACCTGAAAAAGTAGAGCCTTTTATTTCTAGTCTTAAGAATTCAAAGGGAGGTATTATGTTTGAGGGGTTGATACATTTAGCTATTTTGTTTTCATATCATTATGAAAATTGCAGTGTGGTGATAGAAGGAAAATGGGCTTTGGAACTAGATCTATGTAAGCTCAAATCTTGGCTCCATGACACAACTGCAGTACGATTGTGGGTAAGTAATTTAGCCTTCCTGAGCCTCTATTTTCCTGTCTGTAAAATGGGGAGAGAAATGTTATCTTAGAGGATGTAATAAAGATTGAATGAGATAATAAATATAAAATGCCAGGAACATATAAGAGTCTTAATAAAAATAATTATTTAATATTTTATATTTGCTACAAACATAGTAATTCTTTTTGTAATACAAAATGTGAGGAGGAAATCAAGGTTCCACTGATGGCCTGGATTTCATCTACGAGTCCCAGGAACCAGGAGTTAAGGGGGATCATGAGCAGAGCTCTTCACAGGCCACTGTGTCCTAACCTCATAGGCGATTTCTTCTTTAAGCTTCTGAACGACAAATTTTCTGAGTGTATTCGTTTGCTTGAGCGATCATAGCAGAATACCACAAACTGAGTGGCTTAAACAACAGAAATTTATTGTCTCACAATTCTGGAGGCTAGAAGTCCAAGATCAAGGTGTCAACAGGCTTGGTTTCTTCTGGGTGGTGTGAGGGAGAATCTATTCCAGGACTCCCCTCTAACTTCTCGTAGTTTGCTGACAACCTTTGGTGTTCCTTGGCTTGTAGAAGCATCACTCTGATCTCTGCCTTTGTTTTCACCTGGGAGTGACCCTCTGTTTGTGTCTCTGTCCAAATTTCCCCTTTTTATAAGGATACCAGTCAAATTGGCTTAGGGGTCCACCCTATTCCTTGTGACCTCATCTTATTACATCTGCCACAATCCTATTTCCAAATAAGGTCACATTCTTTAATATGTTCTTTAAAATAAGCATAGGAAGTGGGACAATAACATTTTACAAATAAAGTGTGGATTACAGAGGGCTTTTCAGAAGTCACTTTAAAGTTTCCCTTGTTTGTTCTTGTCCTTAAGAAACTCATTTTATTTTCTTGTGCTCTCTTGAAGAAAATGGTTTTTCTTCTTCACATGTCTATCTTTATGAAGGCGGGAAATTAAATAAGTAGCTAGTAAATAATTGCCAAGTAGAAGCTCTCAGCTAGATATTGTGAGGAATATAAGGGAGTATTTACTGATTCAACAAATATTTGCATGTCAGGAATAGTTCTAGGCTCTAGAGATACAGCACTGAATAGATGAAAATTTCTCTCTCATGGAACTTCTATGCTTCTAGCTTTAAACTAAACCAGAAAGCCTAATGAAATCCTAAATGAGAATTACCATAGGGAAGTGCTGGATAAATAGTCAAGTGTTTGTTAAAGACCGTAAGGGCCATGATTTTTTTTTTAATGTAAAATTTGCTCTGGCCTCTGATGACCTTGGAAGGTATTCTTCACAGAAAAGGAAATGAGTTGGGTTCTG